AACTGGGTAGTAAAATTGTAGAGGAAAAGTGCATGCAGTGGAGTTTCCTTCATTGTATAAGGCACAATTCTTCTTCTTTTAAGCTCTGTGCTTAAACATCATTTTGAAAACACCTGTTTTTAAAGAATGGTGCATGCCTTTCGGTAATAGATTACTAAAATACTCAAGACCTAGAGATTGGTGTCTCTGAATTCTCATACTCCAGTATTGGCATGTGATTTCTGCCAACTGTTTTCTTGAGTTTCTTGTAGTAGACGGTTATAAATCAGGTTTATAAAGAGGAAACTCTCTGTAATTGTGCATTTTTAATGGATTTATGATAAATCCATCAAAGTGGAGGGTCCATATGGTAGGAATGCAGTAAAGGTAACAGGACAGTGTCATGTAAACATTAAATAGTGACTTCCACCTTCATAAATCCTCGATCCTCATGATTTAATGCTGCCAGTTATAAATTATGCAACCAAACTCTAGAAACAACCACAACTTAAATAAGACACCAGTGGAAGCCATAAGTTTTATATAGGTTTTTCTTCCCAGAAAACTGTTGTATATTTATTAGGAGATAATATTCAAGTCCTTATTTTCCTCAAAAATTATTTTCTTATTTAACTTCCTAAAATAAGCTCTAGTCCTGATTAAAAAGTAATAATGTAAACCTTATTTACAAGACAATAATCAGTCATTTCTATGTGGTGGAATACCTTTTTGATTTGCAGAGTCATTTTAAAGCTTCAGGTCTCTAAGATTTGCTCCTTTTAGAGTCATACATCAGAAGTTTCTTCAGCAGCCCAATTTCACACTTGTACTTACAATCAAATTGTTTTATTACATGTGGGAACAATTAAACATTTGGCCCTCCGCTGTAAACAATTACTATATACAATCATATTCATGGATTTTTCTTAGTCATGTATTCCTAATGCCTTCTGTGAGATGGATGTATGTGTACATTGTGTGTCCATGAGCAGTTATATTCTCAAATGTAATATCAAAAGAGAGATTTCACCCAGAGAATGCACTAACATTGTCTGATAACATGCAGACACCTGCAATAATAACTTTAACATACTCACTCTTTTCCACTGTCATTTTACTGCTCTTCCAATTTCCTTCTGATGAACAGTTGGTGTGCATAGCAAAAAGGCAATTAAGGATCTGGATAATTTGGTTTTTAGAGTTTTGTGGTGTCTACTTCTGATACATCGACAGCAATGTTGTCAGTAGTAGCGAGGTAGAAGAAATAAGTAATGGTAAAACCAAATCGACTTGGGCTTTAATCTGGCAGTCAATTTCTAGTTGAATGACCTTGGGTAATTTACTTTTTTTCAGGGTTAGTTTTCATATTTGAAAAATGTGGATAGTCCTATCTAAATCACAGAACTATTATGAGTGTTAAATGAGATATATATTTAAAGAAATAGGGCTCATACTGCATACTCAGTGCACACTGATTTCTCTAATGTCTCACATACTCCTTTCCTGAAAAGACTCATAAGCACTGTGGCTTTCCATTTTGAGAGTATCTATCCTTGACTCTCTCAAGTTTAGGGATACATTTTCTTTTCACTAGACTCCCCTTTTCTATAAGTGACAATCAGGGGAGTAGCCCACAGCTGTTTTACTCACATCCAGAAATAAGTCCACTGGTTCCAGTTGCACGGGTACCTAACAGCTGTATCCAGCCTTTCTAGTAGGCCAGAACTGGAGACGAGTGGTAATGTTTCAAGGGCAAAGCTCTAGATGTAAAGAATGATATAACAAACCTAAATGAGCCCGAGCATATCTAGTGACAGATACACCACAGCTATTCTAAATTATTCAAGCTTTCTCAGACTTCTAGCAGGAGAAACATAATTCATCACTGCTCCCTTTATTCTACTCTCATATAATGGCAAAGGAGCAAACAAAAAATACCCCACCCCTAAAAATTTATAATAATCACTCAAAATGGAGAAGAGTTTCTCTAGCACATGTAATATTTTTAGAACCATCCAATTTCTGGGAACCAACTTTGGAGGTAGAAGTTAAAAATGATTTTTCAGTGCTCAAGGGTGATTTCCTTACTTCTCTTTTGTTAGCATTTTGCTGGCAAAAAGCCAGTAAAACAGTTGTTTAATTACCCAGGACCATCACAAACATGTAACCTCTTAGATAAGCTGTTACTGTATTTTAGCAGCAGTAATACTAGGGTCAAAAGTAACAAAGAAAATTAAGCTTCAAATAAGCAAACCTTAAAAGAACAGCTTTGTGTATTGAGAATAATTAATAACTTGTTTAGGAAAATGTCACTGAAATGTGGTTTTTGGACAAGGAACTGACACTCTTCAGAGGTTAGATACCCTAATATTTAACAGGCTACCATTTGGTGGGCTGGCTGGCTGGTTACCCTGTAGGCATAGCAAAAGTTTGTTCTCATGTAATTATGCAACATTTAGACAATATCTTAATGATACCATGTAGTTCAGCTGAATCAGTCCAGCTGGAAACTGTAGCAGCATTCTGATTACCCAGCCACATGTGAAATGAAAGCTGTTTCAACCTCTACTATTCACTTGCTATGTCTTGATACAGATGTTCTTGGAAAACCTAAATTATTTATGGTTTGACATTATTTAACATAGCAAGCTCCACCCCCTTTCATTTTCAACCATTGATTAGGATTGCATTACTATATGATATTATAATTTTAACAGGGACTATTAGTTATCATTTATCACATGGAAGACGTATTAGTATATTTTAAACAGGATGAAAATTTTCCACACTTGTTTTTACACGATAAAAATCATATACTTTTCTCTTTGCAGATAATTCTTACTGTAAAAAGATATTTTAATGTGTACACTGGAAACCATTTGCTAAATGGTTAATCACACAGTGATCATTATTTTAGAAAATGGTAATTTAAGTTGCATAAATAAACTACTATAGATTGCTCCTTACATCACATCATAAAGACACTTAAAATACAGCAATAGCAAAGTCAAGTTAGTGTAAAAAAAAATTTGCTCAAGGTTAACACTCTGAAATTTTATTATATTTCCTTGAGTTATTTCCATGAACTAAAAATACAAAGAATTTCAGTCCCTGTGAATTTTTTTTTTTTTTTATCTCCCAGCTCACTCTTCAGTAAGTGTTTGGGCCACTTCTTCCCCATCGTCCTACCTGGATGATATCACAACTCTTGTGTTTTAGAAGTGAATAAAAGTATTAAAATTTTAAATTAATAACCATAACATCTATACATCATATCTAATAAATTCAGGTAACAAGTTACTTTGGAGCAAAAAAAAAAATGACATTACTTCAGCCACTTCTTATGAATAAGAATGGAAAAAATATAGGTAATGGACTATAGGTACATCTCTGGTAGTAAACATCAAATGGAATACTTTAAAACACTTACACAAATCTTTTTTATTACTTGTAAACATATTGTTAATTTTAGTAAATGGAAATAGCAGCTGAGGAGGAACAGAAGTTAATGTTGAAGGTATGTGAGTCCCCAAGTAAGAAATATGTCTTATTTCTTGTAAATCTTTATTTTAAAAAGATAATGCTAAGTTCTTCTTAACTGTCTTTCCCATTAATACCAGATACTTTCTGGGCTAAGGAATCATGAAGTATATGGCTCATGTATTTAAGTTAGCTAGCAAATATATGCTTGGAATTCCCAAACAACTGACACAAAAAAATCCTTTGAAAAGGTGACTTGGAACCACCTTTGAGATAATGCTAAATGGTCATTAAAGATGTTTAAATGTTATTGTCTTCAGTGTGCCATTACATAGCCTCAGGGATCCTTTCAAATTGCAATCAATAGAGGATGAATAAGTCTCACCACTTGAAAGTAAGCAGGAAAGGAAGCCAACAGAGTAATCTGGCTTTGCTGGACTGATTCAGGAAGAGACACAATGTTCACTCCTCCTCTTCTGGTTCTCCCTCCCCCTACCCAACCCACATCCCTGCAAGAAAGAAAGAAGAGAAAGAGCTAAAGAAGGAAAGAGGGAGGGAGAAAGGAAAAAGGCAAGAAATCCAAGGATGGAGCATAATTTGTACTGAGGTGAAAACCTCGTCCTATGGGATAAACCAACACCATGGAAACAGACTTATGACTTTTACTTTGAAAATAAAAGAATGACAATGAAATTTGTGTGAGGTCTGTGTGACTCCAGTCCCAGATGTTTACAGTGCTGTAGTACTATGGCTCTGCAATATGAGAGGTTTGAGAAGAAACGAGTACAACAGGACACCACAAAGCAGCGCATATGCTATTGACAATGCAGACATGAGCATCATGTTACCAAGAGAGAAGGCAGGCAGAAGACAAATAGCAGCGGTGGTGCCTGAAAAGCTAACTTCATGGACTGCAATCACTCAAACCAACATAAGGGACCAAAAAAAAAATCAAAACCAGAAAAATGCTTTTGCTCCTATCTAGAGGGGTGGTAGGGTAAAGGGATGGGGGTGGGGGAGAGTGAAATTGACTTTTCTTTCTTAAATAAAGTTCCCATAAAGTCCCTATAATTGACAGCGGATAATTATTTTCAGCTTGAGGAAACTGTCCTGAAACTCTTAATAAGATTGCCAGCCAAAAGAACAAAATGTGTTTACTTGAGCCATTTCCAGAAGGGAGGGAAAGGAGACCTTGGGGTGAGGTGGGGAAAGGCGATGGAGACAGAGAGGGGCATCTATGCACTGCAACAACTCTTGGGCGCCCTGCGTGGTCCCGCGAGTGACAAGCCAGAGAGACGGGGCGGGCAGGGTGGCAAAGAGCCTGGGTGGGGGGTGGGAGGGAGCGCGCTACGGGGAGGGGGTTAGGCGGCGCAATGTATACACCCGGGGGGGGGTGATTTAGTGTGAAAGTATTCCACTTAATCATTTTACAGGAGTTGGGGACGTAAATATTTAGCTGGCCACATCTGGAACAGATTCCCCCCCCCTCCGTGGGGTGGGGTGGATAATTGGAAGGAGGGGAGCGCGCATTTGTTACTTACTGTACGGGCAGTTCTCCTTCTTGGTACCGCTGACCTTCCCGTTCTCAATCTTGAGAAAGTACTTGGTGAAAGAGAAGAGCTTTCTCCAGCGGACATCTCCTTGGAGGTGATTGTAGCTCCGCACATGCCTCCCCGCACTGGAAGGAGAGGAGAAGGACGAGGAAGAAGAGGAGTTGGTGGCCTCTGGTGACACCATGCCCTGACCAAGGGCTTGGCAGGTGACAGGGACGGAAGACACTAAGAACAGCAACAAGAAGCAGCAGCAGCAGCCGGGCAGGTGGGGAAAGGCTGAGGCACAATGTGTCAGTATCCATTTCCACATTGTACTGAAACTCTCGGCACTGGAAATTGTCTCATCAGAAGGAACATACTGGAACGGTAAGACCTGGTGCGAGGCAAGGAGACAGCTGGAGGTGGCGGCCGCTGGTTAGCTCCCTCTGGGCTCGGATCTGGCCAGAAGTGAAAGCACCAACATCCATAACTCCTCGGAAGGGCCGGCTGCCTCTTCTCGCTCCTTTCTCGGATCCGCTGCCGCGCGCCCCTCGGTCTCCCGGTGAATGTGGACGTGGGTGGCCGCAGTAGCAGGAGCTGGTGGTGGCCGTCGTGGTGTGGGTAACCCTCGATCTTCGCTCCCCCGGGAGTTACTTTGTTCTCTTCTTCACTCCTTTCTTCACCATGTTAGATGCAGAAAAAGGTCTGAAAAACAGATGACAGCACGGTGAACAAAACCCAAAGGGGCTGGGGTGGGAGGCTGGGGGAGGTATCTGCGCCCTTCTGCGGTTGGCACCTTCTGGTCCCTCTCCGCACAGCCCCAGCTTGCTGGCCAGTTCTAAAAGTGAGTCCCTTTGAGTTGTCAGAACTGGAGTCAGCTGCCCGGTCGCCGTTGTTCTCTTCCCCCTCTTGCTTTCTCTTTTTGGTGGTGCCTGTTGATTTGAAGCCTCCAGAAAGTCACTTCTTGTTTGGAGGGGATGGCGGTTGGTGTTTTGTTTGGCCCTATTTCCCTCCCCCCGCCGCCCCCCTTCCTTTGGAAAGTCCGCTTGTAAACAGGTTGAAGCCTGGAGTCTAAATGTCAGTGATTCTAAGCCAGAGGTGGGCTCTGCCTCTGCTGGCCAAACCTCATTTGCAGGGGTGGAGAAGCGGGGGGCGGGCGGGGGGAAAGGGGGTCAAACGGCGGTGGGACATCTGAAACCCTCGGCTGCTGGGAACGCCGAGGAGAGGGAGGGGGAGGGGGCAGGGGGCAGGGAGTGGGGAGAGCAGGGGAGCCAGGAGAAGGGAGCGCGATGCCTCTGCCTGGAGCTCGGGGGCTGCGGGTCCTTTCCTCGCCACCCGGGCCGCCGCAGCCTGCAGCCTCCGCCAGCGCCTCCAGCTTGGGCTAATTGCTGCGAAAGCGTCCTTGTGCTCGCAGCGCTGGTCACCGGAGCGAGCAGTATCCTCACGCTTTCCGAGTTTTGCTGTCTTCCAGTCTGAACCAATCCCCTCTGGGGAGCCCCTTTCTCACTTGTTTTCCAGTATAGGATTTTTTATTTATTTTTTCCTTTTGGCAGTGAAGTACTTGAGAGCCACCTGGAGCCTGGGGTTTGGCTGACTTTTTTTTCCCCCCTCGCTCGCAGAAGCAGGGGAGGGCTGAGGGAGAAAACAGAAGATGCTGAGGATAAACCCTCCAAGGCAGTAGATTATAAACTGGTGGGAGCGAGCAAAGAAAAGGAAGACATAATTAGCTTCCTTTCCTCCTCTTCTGCCAGCTTCCAAGGAGGTCTCTGCTTTAATGAATCACTGATTTCTCGCTTCCTTTGCTGAAGTAAAAAGTTCACACTTTGGCCCTCTCTGACTTTTAAGCTCAGGGAGATTTATCACCACCCCTAAAAGTCGCCTCTCTCGGCGCAAATGAAATCAGGGACCGAAATGACCGATTTCTGATAGCTAACAAGGGTCGTTTACAGAATAACGCGTGCACTTCAAAGCGAACTCACTTTATTGAGATTGTGAAGATTTAACCATACGATTTTGCCGAATATTCTGCTGGTTCCTAGGCAATTTCCTTTGCACTTTGCCATCAAGAGGTATTTTCTTTCTTCTGTCTTCAAATTTTAATGTTTAAAGGGCTCTATTTTATAAAATAACTGTACCACCAGTCTCCCTCTCTTTTTCACATTCACCACCCTGAAACTCCTTCATTGCTAATAAACTTGCTCATGTCTCAGGTACAGACAGAATCAAGTCCCTGGCTAGGCAGCCTTTGCCAAGGATTAAGAGGCACAAAGAAGGAGATACTGTGATAATCCGTTCCCATCTGAGTAAGAATTCCTAGAGAGTCTCTTTAAGAATTACTCTAAACTAGGGACAGCCTGACTGGAAGAAGTGACTGAAGATGTATTGGTATAAAGTATTTATGTTCTGTAAGGCAGTTGGACCTTTGTGTTATGTTGAAGCATGTGAAATTGCCAGTATTTTATGGTTTTTGACCTTCAAAAGTGGCAGTTTCATATGGTTCAACCTAATTTTTAGGCAGCTATCCTAAGAGGGTGAATCACTTCAAGGTGAACTTGGGAGTTTGACCTCTGCAACTGTAATTCGGAGGGAACTAATCAGGCGAGCTTGTGTATATGCTACAAACCAGAGTCCCTGCAATGTGCGTTTGGTCTCAGTCTTCATTGAACAGGAGAAAAGACAAAGAAATTAAAAAATCTACCTTTGGAAATGGGCTTTAGGAATATTGCCTAATTATGTTGTTTGGTGACTTGAAAAATGACTTTACACCGTGCTCTTATAGTTTCCTGTGCATTCAGAGCCTTTGAAACAGAACATTTTAATACTAGAATCAGGATTTTAACTGCATTATTTATAAACCATTGCAATGCTTATTCAGAAGACTTTGACAATGTGGTACACACAGTAGATTTTTATATTCAATGTAATTAGCTCTGATTTCTGTAGCTATTAATTGGAGAGTTAAGCAAATAAAGAGCATATGTCAAACAAGTCTGGTTCTTTCATTAAAGCATGGATATTTAAAAATAAACTCACAGTGCTAATTTTAATTTTCTAGTTCACTGTTTTATACCTGAGCTGAAAAATGCCTTAAAAAGAGTGTAGTGTTTCTAAGGAAATAGTTTCAGCCCAGTTGTTCAGCTGAATCCAAATGTTTGAATTGACAAGTAATTAAACCTACATATTTTTTTGAAAATAAAAATATGTTTGATGAAACCGTACAATAAAAATTCTGCCATGAAAAGTTACAAAACACATGAAGTTATTATTTTGAGGTTTCTCTGCACTGGGCACCAACAGTATTGGTGCCAGCTTGAGATCCTTTCAATTCTTTTAACTCACGATAGACAACCCCCCACCCCAAACCTCGAAAGTAGTCTCTCTGTCTCTCTCTGTCTCTGTCTCTCTCTCTCACACATACACACTCTCTCGTCTCTCTTTCACACACACACACATCTACCAACTTTCTTCTCCAGTAGAAGAAGCTGTTCAGACATTTAAGTGAGAGGTTTTGTGTTTTTATTCTGTCCTAAATGGGAAAAATACATCTTTAAAACTTCCATATTAAAATCTGCTTGCGGCAGGTGCAGTGTTTAAAAGTTCTAGAGCCCTTTCGCCTCTCTTCTGTACAGCGTGATGACAGGAAGGGCATTTACAAAACAGCCCAAAGGAAAAGCTGACATAGCTTTTTAGATTATATCTCATTCTTCTTTCTCTTTTCTGTACAGCCTTTCTTTTATAGCACAGTTGAATCCCTAAATACTCCACTGCTTTGCATTGTTAGGTCACCTCTTAGGTTAGCCCGAGAAAGCCTGAGAAAAGTTCCACAGGAAAGATGCACTATTTAACGGAATTCAATCTCTCCCAATAGATTTGAATCAGTAACATAAATGTATGAATGTAGATTATATCTCTGTAATGAGGCCTGAATCATTCTCAGTTACTTCAAAGGACTGAAATTCTACCTTCCTTTTTTAGCAGCAATAATCAGGTCTTAATGGATTCCTTTATTAATTGTTTCTCTGCAACGATTGAAAAGGACAGTACAAGCTTCAGATTAGAATGGTACCTACTAATTCTAAAAGGCAGTTTTTCTCTTCTTTCCAACCTCTGGAAGGCATGCTTTATTTCTATGCCCTAAACATATCCAGTAATGTTAGGCTAAATCTTTACTGGGGGAAATAGATGTGGCCTTTTGTTAAACACGATGTCTTGAGAAATTATTGAGGCTTTTAAAAGCAAGACTGTGGCAGCAGCCATCGAAGAATCCTAAAACGTGGTTATTTGACCTCAGAGAAGCAGTTTGTGTATTTGCTTCCAGATCTTTCAGTAGCTATTCTGTTGAAGCAGTTGGATTCTTTATGTTGCCTGGCACTATCTGTGGTTCACTTACAAGATGTGTGTTCTATTATGTGCGATGTTATTGGCAGTGTCAGTAAGCTGCTTTAAATAATACCAAGTCAGGTCAAAAGTCAGCCAGCCTGTTCTACAAAGTAGACATGTGCAGGCCTCATTTTTGAAGTGTGCAGTGCAGCCTTTATGAGTATGTACTCCAGCTCGTTTTTTCTTTGGGATACGGAAGATGCCAGTTTTAAGGCTTTGTTGGGACTTGTGATCTTACTAGGATGCAGCTAGAGATGATAATAGTCATAATATCTGGGGGAAAATAAAATAGTGATATCTTATTGGTTTTTAACTAGGGGTTTCAAATGAAAGGAAAAGAGGTCTTACCCCATGGAGAGTAGTGTAATACTGCAGAGCCAATGGGACTCTTAGCAATAATTGAATCTAACTCATTCATTTCATAGGTGAATGAACAACTGATGCCCAAGTCACTCAGTGGTAGAACAGAGTTTGGAACTCGGGTACTAGGTTATGGGCTATTGTCCTAATTTTTTGGTAACACCTGTCTTGTCTATTTTCTCTTTTCCCCTTTCTGCTCCTCTTCTCCTTATCATTGACCACTCATCACTCTAATGTCGGAGATGCCAGCGGGGAAATGATAAAAAGGGTTAGGAGGCTTTACTTATGGAAAACCAATATTTCTTTGTTACAGTAGATTAGCCAGAGAAAAGTAATAAAATAGTTTAGTGTTGAATTATTAAGTACCAGTTGACTAGCCAAATAAATATTGAGATTTATTTGGCAAAGGGGGCTATTTTATCAAAGCCTGTGAAATGAACACAATTGGAAAGCAATGTATATACATATTTCCAGAATATTCAAGGATTTTTTAAAATATATAATCTGAGTTTATAAGTTATCCTCCAGAAAATTTATGGCAACTTCTAGAAAAGTAGATTTATAATTTGATTCTTCTTTCTGTATTCTACTATTAAGTTTCCGTAAAGCAGTATGATATTTCAGAGCATAAGTATTGGCTTAAACAATGTTTTTCAAAGTTTGAAACTAATGTAAATTTCCTATTCCCTAGCTTTCAGACAGACTTAATGATCTCTTATTGAGAAGGAAAAATGGTCAAGATGGTGAAAAGGACCTTTTGAAGGAAAATATATTCTATATAAGGATGTTTAAATCATATAATAAATCACCAAAAATTCCTGGAAACTGAACTCTGCATCTTGGCACCAAACACAACAAACATATTTCCACAAAGCTGCTGTTTGTCTCCTTCCAGCTGATGGTAAACAGAACCTTCCCTTGACAAAGCTGTGAAGTCTCTGAAGAGTTCTGTTTGTTTTCTGTGTTCTCAGCTGTCCCTTTGTCGAAATGTGCCTCCTTTCACTTCAAGCTCTCTAGGTTTCTTAGTCATATATCCTAGATCAAAATTTTAAGCATTTTGATCTCAGTCATTTATGTTTGTGAATTAATTGGCAGGTCATAGCGTTTTCTTTAAAGTTGCAATGCTTTATAACAACAGACATTTGTAGTATCTTCATTTCTCCATCCATTCACTGATTGGTTTTTATTCAGCTAATGTTTATTGATACCTATTGTGTGCTAGCTGGGCATTGTACATTTTTCAGGATTTTACCAATAAATGAGAGCAATTTACCTTGCAAAGAGCATGAATGAATGAATGAATGAATAAATGAATGATTTTAGGCACTTTATTATTGATGGAAAAAACAGGGTTATCTTAGGACTCAGACAGCAAATAGAGAGATTGAGAAGAGAAAGAAGAGCCCCTGAAATTTCTTTCTGGTTGTTCTACTCCTTACAGGAAGAGCTGAAGGAAACCCTGAACTCTGTTCTCAGCTTCATGAAGGAGCAAGACTCGATCTTTGGCGGCTTTATGGCCCTGGCACAACCACTACAGTTTCTCCTGCACTCTGGGGATTTTGGCTATGTCCTTCCTGCTAACTGAACCTGACTCGGTTTCTTTTCCTTCTGTTCTTAGATTCCTGGATGCACATTTTGTGTTTTCTAGCTCTAGAAATATGTTAATTATTTCCCGCTAAGAGTTCCCTAATCTATCTGCTGCTGTGTGCTTCCCATTAAAACATACATATCATCAAATATAATTTGACCTAACATCCGTTCTCCCTATTTGACAAATTTTTCTCTGATAAATAGACTTTGACAAAGATTTATTATCAATGAATTAGTATTCATAGAATATTACAAATTAGTATTAACAGAAATATTATTGTTTTCGAGGAATGCAATATGCACGGTGCTGGTTTTTCTTGGGTTCGTCCCCAGACCGATTTTCTGCCCTTTTCTGCTCAGCTCTGTTCTGACATCTGTGCATCACCAGTGTCCCTTGGACGGATGGATGACTTGCAGTTGGTTTTGGCAGTGGGAGAATGGGATCTTCAGAAGATTAGAGAACTTCTGGGTATTTCTTCCTCTCCTCCTCTTTGTTTCAGTGTCACTTTTCTAG